ATGTATTCATCATTCCTCATGTATTCATCATTCCTTATGTCTTCATCATTCCTCATGTCTTCATCATTCCTCATGTATTCATCATTCCTCATGTATTCATCATTGCTCATGTCTTCATCATTCCTTATGTATTCATCATTCCTTATGTATTCACCAGTAATCATCCCTAATAAACACCCATGTGTGGGCAGGGGTGATCCTATACATCCTGCTGGTGGGCTACCCGCCCTTCTGGGATGAAGACCAACACCGCCTCTACGCGCAGATCAAGGCCGGCGCCTACGATGTCAGACAAGCTTTATACTTTATTATTATCATTTTATACTTCATTTTATCATTTTATACTTCATTAATATCATTAGGCAAGCTTTATACTTCATTATTATCATTTTATACTTCATTATTATTATTTTATACTTCATTTTATCATTTTATATTTCATTTTATCATTTTATACTTCATTATTATCATTGGACAAGCTTTATACTTCATTATTATATTATCTTACCATTTATTATTAACTTGATGTAGCGTAGCTTCATATTGTTGTAGACATGAAAAATGTTTACTGTAAATTATTTAATATTTTTTTTATTACCTTTTATTGTTGTATACATTAAAAAATTTAAAAGCAAAAAAAAAAACCGAGTGAATTTACCAGAATTTTATTACAAACGGTGTAGAGACCAACTCCATCATGTCAGAAGAATGCGGGCTACTTATTCGTTAGAAGCTTTTGATTTAAATTTTCGTAAGAACCTTTCAATTCTCATATTTAAAAGGATACGAAATTGAGCTCTGTTAAGATAAAGTTTAGCAGATAAGCTACAAAGCCTAATTTCTACACCATTTTGGCAGAAGACCGTGGCAGGTGTTATCGCTCTAGACTTCTGCTTGCCTATCCGCCTCATTTTGCTGCGCGTTTTCAAGCGGAACAAATCGACGTTCTTTGTCTGAAGGAAATATATAATTTTTTTGAAATTATTTTTAAATTTTTGGGCTCTAGTTAAGTTAACGATTCCAAGGACCTTGGAATCGTTGTATATTTTTATACGAAATCTTTTTCTTAGGACCGATTAAGTTTTCATTTGATTGAAAATTTCGATCTATGCTTTTTTCACGCTACTTTGTCCATTTATCAATCTATTCAGGATTTAATCTCTTAGGAGTAAATTATGCTCTTTCTATTGATCATGCGTTTGGTGTTCTAGAATTTTTATGATGATGGAGTTTTTTTAACGTTTATGGTAAATTTATCTGAATTCACTTGGCATTTTCTCCGCTTTTGAATTCATTTTTGATTTGGGATTTAAGGATATGAGTATCTTTTAATACTTCGGGTATAAAGTGTTTATATCACTTCACTAATCTTGTTAGTGTTGTAGGTATACATTGGTTTAGTGCAGAAAAAACTTTAGTCGCTGGCTCTGTAAATGCTTTATTCACTCAACAGAAAGCATTATTATTGTCAGTTTCATGAATAATTCATTGAGTTTGAAAAGCAATATCATTCATGATTATCTTACCTACTCTATTTAATTATGAAAAATATAAAAATTTTTATATTTTGATCAGTTTTATAAGGAGTGACAATAATCTTAGAATATTACTGAATATCTGCAACGTCTCGTATATGAATTACAAGATTCTCCTCATCAACTCGATGCTCACCGTCAACCCCGCCAAGCGCATCACCGCCGCCGAGGCCCTCAAGCACCCCTGGATCTGCGTACGTTGCCCTCACTCTTATTACCCTTATTACCCTCACCCTTATTACCCTTATTACCCTCAGCCTTATTACCCTTATTACCCTCAGCCTTATTACCCTCACCCTTGTTATCCTCACCCTTATTACCCTCGCCTTTATGGCCCTCACCCTTATTACCCTCAGCCTTATTATCCTTACCCTTATTACCCTCACTCTTATTACCTTCACCCTTATTACCTCCAGCCGTATTACCCTCACCCTTATTACCCTCAGCTTTATTACCCTCACCCTTATTACCCTTACCTTTATTACCCTCACTCTTATTACCCTCAGCCTTATTACCCTCAGCCTTATTACCCTCAGCCTTATTACCCTCAGCCTTATTACCCTCACTCTTATTACCCTTGTTACCCTCAATCTTATTACCCTCAGCCTTATTACCCTCGCCTGTATTACCCTCTCTCTTATTACCCTTGTTACCCTCAATCTTATTACCCTCAGCCTTTTTGTCCTCGCCTGTATTATCCTCACTCTTATTACCCTTGTTACCCTCAATCTTATTACCCTCAGCCTTATTACCCTCGCCTGTATTACCCTCACCCTTATTACCCTCACCCCTATTACCTCACTCATATTACCCTCAGCCTTATTACCTCACCTTTATTGCCCTTACTCTTACCCTCATCCTCGTCTTACTCTCAGGTTACTTTACTATTAGTTTACATTACCTCAGAATAAGTTTCCTTCCGATCGCGTTGATTGGAAATATGTTGTTTGTTTCTCATCGTTGTTTCCTTCCAGAATATGATCCCTCTGATTACGTTACCCTCCTCTTTATTACCCTCAGATTGTGTTAACTTCATAGTATGCTGCCTTGAGATTATACTACTCTGAACTCTAAGTTTATAAGACGCTTGATTAGCCTCTGAGGCTACCTTCAGATAAGGCTACCCCTCTTTTTTAACGTACACTCAAAAAATGATACCCTCTGATATTACAGCCCTCGTTATACCTTACACTTAAATAAGGTTACCCTCGTACTATGCTTTCCTCGTATTGCCGTACACTTGACAATGTTACCCTCAGATTATGCTGCTCTCAGTTAGAATTTCCCTCAGAATTAACATCTTCACGCAGTTAGTCCCTCAAAATATATTTGTCTGAATTTTCCTTACGATATTATGTCACATTATTGTAGTTTCCCTACACAAACTACATATAATAGCGAGTTATTCACAGTTGCGGATGACTATTTCTATTGCGTGATTAACTCGAATTATTGATTTATTTAATTATTAAATTATTTAACATTTATAATGATAGAATATATTAATCAAATCTATTTAGCTTTATTAACGTGAATATATTGATGTAAACATTAACCTGTTGAGCTCCCGAAATACATAAATACATTTTTTTCCTTGTCGGAAAATTTAGAGCATTTATTTTCTCTTAAAATTGATTAATTTTTAAAAACAATAGTTTTCTTCTGTGATTATATATTAACTATTATATTAGTTAGATATAAATTAATATATATTTAGCTAATACCATAATTAGTATGTAATATATAAAGTAATATTAGTTATTAAAATATATGTTTATGTTGCAGCAACGCGAGCGCGTGGCGTCTGTGGTGCACAGGCAGGAGACCGTCGACTGCCTCAGAAAGTTCAACGCCAGAAGAAAACTCAAGGTAATTCATGGTTATCAGCATAGATATCATCATAGTTATCATAGTTGTCGCAGTTATCATAGTTATCTTCATTGTTATCATTGCTATCATCACTGTTATCATAATTGTTATCATCACTGTTATCATAATTGTTATCAACATTGGTATCGTCATTGTTATCATTATTGTTATAATCACTGTTATCCTAATTGTTATCATCACTGTTATCTTAATTGTTATCATCATTGTTATCACTGTTATCTTAGTTGTTATCGTCATTGTTATAATCATTGTTATCATCATAGTTATCGCAACTATCACTGAATTATCTGTGTCATCAGAGGTATCGGGGTTATCAGGTTTATCAGTATCATCAGAGACGTTAGAGTTATCGGTGTTATCTGAGTTATCATTATCAGAGAGCCATACTTGCAACGATATCATCAGGATCTTATCATCGCCACATCAACATCTACAATGTTGTCACTATCATCTACAATGATGAAGAATGATAGTAAAGCTCACTCCATTCTCCCGTCTCGTATAATGATTTAAGTGCACTTAACAAACAGAACACTATATAAGATAATGATTAATAAAGGATAGTATTAATAATTGAATGATGACTAGGACTACTAGGATATTATCCTAGTTGAGGTAATTAGCAATACTGAATAGAAACGTTTTAATGTAAGCATTTTTTTCTATTGGATTTCTGCGTAATTTTACAGAGGATCTTCAATATTATGCAAGATATTCTAACTTACTTTGATGGTTGGATAGTTTTAAAGATACTTACTGGCTTTAAGTGTACATGGACACTTTCTTCCACACTTTCGGCCTTTCTTTCAACCACACTTTCTGCCTCACTTTCTACCACATTTTCTACCAGACTTCCTGCCTTACTTTCTACCATAATTTCTACCACACTTTCTAACACAATTTCTACCATACTTTCTACCACAATTTATACTTCACTTTCTACCACACTCCCTGCCTCACTTTCTACCACAGTTTCTACCACACGTTCTACCACGTTTTCTGCCTCACTTTCTACCACAATTTCTACCACACTTTCTACCACACTCTCTACCCACCTGGGAAACTTCATTGCTGGTTCGAACCTCATCCATTTATCTTCCACCTATAATCTTTTTCGTCTTATTTCGAGAACAGATTCTTATCATAACGTATTCCGTGCTATTCTCTAAAGAAACTTCCTTTAAAAACGCAGTGTAGTCGTTCTTTTAATTTCAATGGTTCCGAGTTTCGTCTAATCGTGTTGGTTATACTTCTTGAAAAGAAGTGGTCACCCCTCATAAAGTGAGGTGGTTACTCTTGGAAAAAGGGTCATTACTCTGTTGTAATGGGGGTGGTTATCCTCTTTTTAACAGGGGTTGGTTATGCTTTCAAAAGAGAGGGATTACCCATTTGAAAAGAGAGCGATTACCTCTCTTGAAAAGGGGTGTTTACCCTCTTGAAAAAGGGGAGGTTATCTTTTGATAAGGATCGTTTCCTGCTGATTCAGAAGTCAAGTTGTATGTATCTCAACCACTCTTTCGTATAACATTATTCGTTGATAACATGTCGCATAGCGTTGATAATATGCCACATGCCACATATCGTTGATTACATTACTTGTTGATAACACGCCACGTATATAATTGATTTAAATAGTTGCCCTCGCTATATAGATAATAATTTCCATAGATGGCCTCGCCACATATCATTTGTACAGCTGTCCCGCCATATATATAGTTAACTTGTATAGATTCTTGCGGCACACTGCTTACCCAAGCTTGTATCATTCATTCTCGCACTCAAATAAATGAGTGAGACTTTGTCCAAATAACGATGCACTTTTTGCCTTGTGTGGGTCATCCTGACACAGTTTGGTCTAGCTAAAGGACGTATCAGTGTTACGTCCGCTCTTTGCTAGTGCTGTGGGTAAGACGTGACCCATTAATACGGCAATATGACCCGCTATTTGTTTGAGTGTGCAGTTAATGCTAGTGGCTAGTCGATTCCTAACGAACCTTGAATTTAAAAGTATAATATTTTATATTTCTTACCATGAAGATGGATTATGCAGTGCAGCTGTAAATTCGCTAAAATAAAATGAATCAATAAAATATTAATATAAGTATTAAAATCACTTGTTTGCTTAAAATCGCAAGTTAACCAGGAATTTAAAAGCAAAGACAATATCACAAAAATTCACCATATCTTCATTAAAGAAAACGTTTCAGAGACCAGCTCCATCGTCAGTTCATGACACAAAGTTCAGTTCAGAAGAATTTCAGTCCTAGAAACACAAATACAATCAATTAGTAAAGTCCACTAGCCGGTATTAAAACGGAAAGCTAGTAAATGTGACAAGAAATGAACGCTGGTAAATGGCCTATCTATTTACTATTTTAAGAGGAAAGGAGCTAAAAGCGACATTCAGATTAGGCTTCTGTTTGAATATATGCAGGGATTACAAAATTTGTAGATCAGTAACACCGGATGTGGAAGCTAGAACTTTAAAATCACTATCAGATACAGAGGTGTTGCACTGCTCAGCATGAACACGTATACAGCAGAATAAGGTGGATGTGCAAGTAGGTTCCCCGCTCTATAACTCCTGCCCTTATGCTCAGCCAGCCTAGTATAGAAATTGCGTGACGTCATACTGACGTACGCTGATGCGCACTGCGCACAACTACATCTGTAAACTAGTGACGATCGCATAAGAACAGGAAGGGTATACTTATACCTGAACAAAACGAGCCCACTTTGTTATGAACTGACGATGGAGCTGGTCTCCGAAACGTTTTCTCTTATAAAGATATGGTGAATTTTTGTGGTATTATCTTTGCTTTTAAATTCCTGGTAAAATACCGTATTGATTAATTAGCGGCTGTAAATTGAATTAGAACGCTGATTATATAGAAGGTGACTTAAGAAAACCTAACATCAATACATTAACGGTGAAGTTAGATAATAGGATGATTAGATAAGACATTAATAAAGATAATTTTGCCAAAAGAGAGGCGCGGTTGTTTGGCTTCAGTTTGGGCTTGCGATGTCAGCATTTCTGGGGCTTGTTCGGACCACATTTGTCGGGGTGACTTCTAGGGGGGATTTCTGAGGTGACTCTGATGTGACTTTTGAGGTGTATTCCGTGATGACTTCCTAGGTGACTTGACATGAGACTTGTTCATTACAGGGCGCTATTCTCACGTCTTGTCGTAACACCATTGCTTGTTACAGGGCGCTATTCTCACGACTTGTCGTAACACCATTGCTCGTTACAGGGCGCTATTCTCACGACTTGTCGTAACACCATTGCTCGTTACAGGGCGCTATTCTTACGACAATGCTGGCCACGGCCTGCAACTTCTCTAGTAAGTTCTAAGTTAAGAACTCCCCTCATCGTCTTGCTTCTCTGGCCCCGGTAAGTCGTTAATAATAATTTCAATCGCCTGTAATTTCGGTTAGTTTTTAAAATAATTTATTGGTTATTTAAACGGCAGTTAATTAGGTCAGGTTGACGTATTTTTTAGTTATGTTTCTTAGGATTAATTTTTTCGTCTGCTTGTGTTTTAGGGTGTCTGTTTGTGACTTGAATTGTTTGTTTGTATGAAACCTTGAATTAGTGCGTGTATATGAAGCCTATATTGCATGTGTTTGTATGAAGTCATTTAGTATGATTAAGTTGTTGAATAATGGTTAAATGATGTATAAATTATTCATGTGTTGAATGTCTTGATGAAATATTTAGAGGAATATATATTGAAGCGAGCGGTGATAAGTCAATGGGCGAGACAAGATGTATATATGCATCTACTATATACGTTAATTTAGATAATATTGTAGATATAGGTTTATACACTGCATGTAAACGACGATTTTCGTTATTATAGTAAATTCAAGAAGCGTAAAGATGAATGTAAACATGCTACATAACTAAAAAATTAATAAAATTAAACAAAATGCGGACGCAAGAATTTATAAAAGCGAGGAAAGCCGCCTTAGGAAATACAGAGTAATTTCGATTGTCATATTTTTAAATGCACTTGCATTAAATTATAATATTATATTAAATTTAATAGCATTCTTGGTGCATTTTTGGGACAGGAATTTAGTTGTGTTTTTTGTTCAGAATCTAATATACAACTGCCCTATTTTACAGGTCATTTTACGTGGAAATTTTTCCAATTTGTGTAGGTTTTATGCGAATTTTCAACTTTTTTAAAGTTTTTATTTATATTTTTTAAAGTTGTCTGCTTTTCAAAAAAGGTTTTAAATATGAAAAAATTAAAACTTGAAAGTTTCTAAAAGTTTGTAAAGCAAGTATTTGAAGCTTTTAAATACGGAAACTTAGATTTCTGTGAAGAGTGTAAGCGAATCTACGTGAAGTTTGAAAAAATAAGCATATAGCGGCATTGTATTAAAGTTCAAAACTACAAAAATTAATTTTCTTTTTAAGGAAAACATCGGGATAGAGAGTCTTAGAAACACTTAGTCTAAAATGACATCAACATTTCATAGATTTTCTTGTAACATGTTTCTGCACTGCCGAGATGTAAACATGCACACAACCTTGGAGACCTGCAACCAGGTAATAGTCTAGTTACCAGCATCGGGTTACCGGGTAACCGTCCAGCAACAGGTAACTTCTGAATACCTTGTCAAAACTTTAATAATATTTTTTTCAATGGTTTCGAAGGCGGTTTCGCATGGCAGCTTCTGCATTCTTAATGTGGTTTCACTGTAGAACTTTCGGTGTTGTTTTCATAACAACTTTTGTGGCTATATGTTTGTGACCCAAGTTTGTCATTCCAATTACGGTTCATGTCTGCACATTTATTATTTTTACTTGTTCACTTTTTTATTAGAGATTTTTAAAGTCTAATTCGATTTTATGCACAACTTCCTTCCCTTCTGCACACTTGGACTTATTCTGCACGCCTTTTTCAGCTATATTTCTGCACAATTTTATTCATATTTTGCACTCTTTCTCCTTTTCTGCACATTTTGCTCCCTTTCTGCACATTTTTCACCCTTTCTGCACATTTTGCTCCCTTTCTGCACACATTTAGCTCTTCTGCACAAATTATCCTTATTAAAAACTGACTACATTTATTCCATTTATTCACAAGCGGACAAATAGCGTTGAAATAACGTTTGAAGGACGTAATTTCAAAATTAAAACGACGCAATTTCAACGTCCAAACGAGGTAATTTGAACGTTAAAAGGACGTAATGTCAACGTTCAAACAGCTCAATTTCAACGTTCATACAAACGTTGTATTACCGTTGATTCAACGTTAGATGTGTGGAAGATTTCTTCGACGTTCGTCAACTGATATTTATTCATAGTTTCAATTAATTATTATTCGTGTTTTCTTCATTTCATTTGGTGTTTTTTAACCTAATCTTTATTGTGTTATTTTTGTCCAAACACATACTTAGCAATCAAATAGCCACATTAACATTTATCAACCATAATATTTTTTGATGATCCTAATAACTGATTGGCTTTCAACTTGCAGTCGCAGTTGTAAAGAAAATATTGTATGTGGGATTAAATTTTCGCGTATAGTTTGTGTGCAATCTTTTTTTAATAATTCCAGCATTTTACGTACTTCATTCCGGACTGCATTTTCAACCTCTCAGGTCTTCATTTTTGATTGTGTTTTGCTTCATACAATATACAGCTGTGTGCTTCATGGGTGCAGCTGTGTAGTCACCCTATTATCTTACATATTTACGCATTTCTATATAGTAAATAAATACGTCTGCTATAGCGTGAGTGCAGATGTTTAATCTCACACTTCCGTACAGCACCAACAGCTGGCCATCGTCTCCACCACATCACTCTTGATCCATCATTATACTGAACCTTGATCATCATCATTATTATCTTGTCATGTTTACGACCAAGTCATGTTTACGACCAAGTCATGTTTACGACCATGTCATGTTTACGACCATGTCATGTTAACGACCATGTCATGTTTACGACCATGTCATGTTTATATGTCATGTTTACGACTATGTCATGTTTACGACCATGTCATGTTTACGACCATGTCATGTTTACGACCATGTCATGTTTACGACCATGTCATGTTTACGACCATGTCATGTGTACGACCATGTCATGTTTACGACCTTGTCATGTTTACGACCATGTCATGTTTACGACTATGTCATGTTTACAACCATGTCATGTTTACGACCATGTCATGTTTACGACCATGTCATGTTTACGACAATGTCATGTTTACGACCATGTCATGTTTACGACCATGTCATGTGTACGACAATTTTTCACGATTTTTTCCCCGTTTCGCTTGTGCCGCAGAATCGCTCATCGACTTGTGCTTCTGGTGCTGAATTTTTATTCCTATTTTCTTTTTTCAAATTAAATTCTGAGTGACAAATTCTTCCAAGAAATTATCAATGATTTATTATAAATTGGTCCTTCAATGATGACTTATTTGTGTTTGAATTTGTGGCAAATCTCGTTTGGCCAATATACAGTGTGTGTGCGCAACTTCTCGAGTAAGTAGCACGCTACTTCTTCCCAATGGTACCGTCACTTAACTACCATCCAGGTAGGTCATTACTTATCCCTTTTTATTACCATTTACTTGTAATTTGGTTGGTGAAAGTACTTACTGATGGTAAAGGTGGTAGTTTTTTTAATGGTAGTGCGGTAGTTCACTATTGTTGATAGTGGTAGGGTACTTAATTCTTGCCATTTGCGTGTACTTTGGTTGGTGAAAGTAGTTACTGAGGGTACGGGTGGTAGCTTTTTAGCGCATTTTCTCATTTATGGAAAAAATGCACTATTGTGCTCGCCATGTCTGTCTGTTCGTCCGNACATGCACTATATTGTGCTCGCCATGTCCGTCCGTCTGTCTGTCTGTCCGTCTGTCTGTCCGTCCGTGACTTCACGTTTTCGCCGACGAGAAAATGCTCTCACTGTCACTCACTGCAGTGAGTACTGAGATATATTTTTTTACTGGTAGCGCAGGCTTGTACTGCGTAAGCTGGGACCGTGATTATTTAATGTTAATAGGAGCATATGTTGATTAATTTATGTAATGTTGATTATTGTTACTGTAGCTTTTCAATATAGTGGCAAGTAGTTTTAATTTATGGGTGATTATGTAGAACAATACTCGGTGCTATAGGACCAAGTTTTTCTGTACGAACTAATAACATTTAAATCAAGCTGCATGGTCATGGTTCATTTTCTCTTTACCTTTTCACACATTACCTTTTCTTATGAAGAGGTCGACACCAAGTTTACGTCTAAGTCGAAGATATCATAAAAGTACTAAATTTTATTTATTTATTTCAATCGCATTGAAACTTTATTCGCCCATTTTTGAAACTTCAAATTACTGATAAATCGATATAGGAAATGGAGTAAAGTTTAAGCAGATGCGTGTTTGCATTTTCAAGAAAAAATCTGCTTGATGCGTGACCTAAATTAGACGAATATTATGCAGTGTAAAGAATTGCGATGCAAATGAGATAATTTTGATGAAAATACGGAAATTTTGATGAAAATGGATGAATTTTGATGAAAATTTGATGCAGATGGACGATTTTTTCTTCTTTTTCACTATCTTGTACAAAATAGTGCGCTAAGCTAACATGTGTGGAAATGCTGATGGAATTTTTTACATACGTTTATTGTTATGATGTTTGATAATTGTGATGTGATTAATGATAATGAGTGATGAGACGGCAGATTGTGAAGAATGAAAGCGATGTATGTGTGATGAATATAATAGTATGTATGTGTGATGAACTGACTGAAGGTAAGAAGTATGCTCGAGATTTCAGATTTTTTTATTCATTGAAGTTAGAAATTTATTTTGTTATTAAAAATTAGATGTTTATATGAAAATTAGATAGACTGGACCTAAACTGACGGCAGCGAATGTCGTTTGGTTCGCCATGGTAAGTCTGTTTATGGTTTAATTTTATTATTTAAGTAAAATCATATTATGTAAATTGTTATTGTAAGTAAAATTGCAAGCAATAACTATGAGTTGTTATTTGAATTGTTTTGTAAAATCTTTATTGACGCTTGCCATTTAAAATGTCGACTTATTTACGGTAATGATTATATGATTATAAAATTATGAAGAATGCATAAGATTATTAATTGATATTTTCCTTGATTATGTGCCTTTTTTCTTGAATTCGTTATCTTTCATTTAATTCATTTTAAAATTATGTGTAATTTTTTATGTTTCTGTTTTTATTTTTAGTTATTATTGAGATGCTTTTAATACATAGATGAATAAAATTTATTAGCTCCGTTTTAAATTGAATTGCTCGTTTAACTGGTTAAGTTCAACAGAATATTTAGGTAGAA